ACGCCATCACTCACTTTGTGACCTACCTCATCTTCACCACCGTCCGACATGAGGAGTAGGGTATCTCAGAACTAGACGCTATCTTAATCTTACTCTTACGTACCCATTGCTGAACCACTATGAGCAACACCGGCCTTGTCGCATGGGGCGTTCCCCGGCTGGCGGAGCTTCTTCCGTTGGACCAAGAATCGCTCACCCAGATCATCGACTACGCCGCCAGCCTCTCCAAGGAAGAAGGAGCCAACCACCTCAAGAACCTCTTGGGCGACTCGCCGGCCGCGTTCGAATTCATCGCTGCCTTCAGCTCCCGCCGTTCGGCCCCGCCGCCGCAGCGCTCCGCCGCGTCCTCACCAGCACCGACACCCGCCCCCTCAAGCACATCCTCCGCACCTCCCAGAAACACCAGCAGCAGTTCAGGCCGAAAAGGTAAGAAGTCAAAGCCACCGCTCCACAGCGCTGGCCCTGTGCGCCGGCCCGAGAACTTCGGCGACGTGACCGGCGGATATAGAAAGGAGGATCAAAACGAGGATTACATGCCTGTCTCGATGTCAGGCCGGGGTCGACCGGATGCGAAGCCATCTCTCGGTCTACAAAATCTACCGGTCACATCTTCTCAAGGATCATCCGCTACCTCATCGCGCAACCAGTCGCCCGCCCCTCCCCGGCTTACATCCACCACCACCACCACCACCAGCAAGAACAACAAAGCCCCACCTTCAGCCGCGGGACCCGTCATCTCGGATCTTCTACCTAACGTGAAGTCGAAAGCAGCCAAGTCAACGGCGCGTGGCGCCGCAAATGCAGGTGGAGGAGGCTCGTCCTCCTCGTCGTCGGCCAAGGGCGGCGGCGCCCTGACGACAACGAACATCACCGACCTGACAGCCGCGATCGCCGCGCTGGAGGTGTCCACAAACCCGACGCTGGGCCCGGGGGCCCGGAAATGTACGTGCTACGCCAGCATCCACCCGCTCTTCGACCCGGTGCCGAACTGTCTGAACTGCGGGAAGATCATCTGCGCGCTGGAGGGGCTGCAGCCGTGCTCGTTCTGCGGGACGCCGCTGCTGTCGAGCGACGAGGTGCAGAGCATGATCCGGGAGCTGCGCGCGGAACGGGGCCAGGAGAAGATGCGGGCCCACAATGAGAGCGTCCAGCACCGGGACGGGGGACCGGGGCTGGGACCAGGAAGTAACAGTACCAGCAATAATAAGCTGGATGCGGCCCGCGCGCATCGCGATAAGCTGCTACAGTTCCAGGCGCAGAACGCCAAGCGCACGCGGGTGGTGGACGAGGCGGCGGACTTTGAGACCCCCAATGTCGCGTCGACGCTGTGGATGACCCCCGCGCAGCGGGCGCTGGCCCTGAAAAAGCAGCAGCGCATCATGCGGGAGATGGAGGAGAAGGCCCGGCCGGAGTGGGAGAAGAAGAAGACCATCATGAGCTTGGATATCAAGGGTGGTCGAGTGACGCGGGTGTATCAGTCCGCCGCGGAAGCGACCGGGTCGGCGAAGGCCGCGGAGGAGGGGGAGGACGAAGATGACAATGAGGCCAAGGCTGCGCAGCGAGATGAGGCCGATCGTGCGAACAGCGGTGGCCACGCGTTTAGCAACAATCCGCTCCTGGCGGCTGGCGGGCTGCTCCGGCCGGTGTGGAAAACGGCCGACGGTAAGCAGCCCGAGACGGCGCGCAAGGAGCGCCAGCCAACCTGGCGGCGGGTGCAGGATGACAACGACGATAACGAGCAGTGGATTCTGGATGGCGGGGCGCATGGGTATACATGATCCTATGGAGGCGCAAAGATTCTGGCGTCACCGTGCAGTTCCTCCCTCTCTCCCTGCGTTCAGGAGTGAGTGTGTTGGCTTGTACATACTCAACATTCTCCTTGCATAGTATCTACGTGTGTTCTCGCTGGTTGTATACACCACAGCAAAAACCACACTACGTATCTCTCAAGCTAGCGAGCCATCGTATCCTTCGGTGGGGCACAATGAAAGCCAGAGCCCGTATTAATTTCAACTTGGAGTAGACTCTCGTACTGGGTAATTGCTACGCTACAATGGGAGCTAGAGCTCGTGTTCGGAAGGGCGATACCTGCTAGGAAGTAATCCTATCAATAAATAGTATCCTATAGCCTGTCAAACGTTACACATCAGACATATGCCGCATCTATATTACTTCTATACTCACCTATACAGTACACCCCATGGGATAATGAAAAGCATAGCCAACAACTAGCTAACCACCAACAATTCAACCCAAATTCCCTTGCACTAAAGTACCAGAAACCTGCTCCGCTGGATCATGACGCCAATAGATCAGCCATAAGGTGAGGAGAGATCATGGACCATGGAACGTAACAGCCAGCCAGTTAGTCAGTCACTCGCCCAATAGCTGCTGCGCTGCGTCAAAGCCCGCAAGTAACCGAGAAACCAAGGGTAGGCAGGGCATTATTAATTCAAAGACCGGTCGGTCGGTAGGTATATGAATATTAGCCATCTGCATCTTTCGATATTACCTATCAGTTTGCTCCCCACTTTGGCCCCGTGTCTTACAATTCACTTCTTTACTTGAGACTGAGACATCACGAACCGAGAGCGGGAAGTGACGTTTGCGGGGAAGTTGGCAGTGCCGCAGTATACAAGCTCGGTTCGAAGCGGGTAGATTCGGCCAACCACCACTTACCATTTACGGAGGGTCATCGTATCTGAGATACAAGGTATCAGCAGCTGCAACAGAACACGAGTGAGTGGATTGATAGAGTACTGGCTGGAGTGGTGCTTATACGACTGCTACCTACCTTATTAATACTTGCTCCCCCCTTCTTTCTTCTCCAGGTCGAGAGACCAACTCTTCGAGCTACATCCATCAAGCCAGTCCCAAGGCAACCAGGGCAACAGAAGGATGTTAAGCCAGCTGAGCTGGGACGCCATATCACTATCCCCGGGTGGAATCGCCTGGGGTGTGCTGGGGTTACTCTCCGCGGTGGTGAGTGCACACCGATTACCCTCAGATTCGCCCTATCGTTGCTCTTTCGAAGAATACTACTAACGGGGTATGGATGCAAACAGACCCTCCTCTACACCCTCTACAACCGCTACCTCCACCCGCTCCACCACCTTCCGGGCCCCCTGCTCGCCTCGCTCACCCCCTGGGTCCAGCTGTACCACGGCCTCCGCGGCGACCGCCACCTCTGGCTACACACACTCCACACCCAGTACGGCAGCCACGTGCGGGTGGCGCCCAACTTTGTGTCCGTCAACACCGCACAAGGGCTGCACGACATCTACGGCCACGGAAAGCGCCTCAAGAAGGCCGACTTCTACAATGCGTTCCCGGCCATCAAGGGCGTCTACAACACGCACAACGTCATCGATAAGACGGCGCACGGCCGCAAGCGCCGCGTCCTGAGCCAGGCGTTTGCCGACCATGCGTTGAAGAGTATGGAGGATGTTATGCTCTTGCATGTGCGGCAGCTTTGTAGTGGGTTGGTGGGGAGACAGCTGCAACAGACTCCAACGGAAGGTGGAGGCGGGGAGAAACAGGGGCCGGCAGTGGTGCAGGATTTGGGCCGGTGGTTTAGTTATCTCACGTATGATGTGATGGGGGAGTTATGTTTTGGGAAGAGCTTTGATATGTTGATTGAGAGTAGCCGGCGGAGGTTGGTCGAGTTGGTGGATCGCGCGGCGAACCGGCATTATATCGTGAGTGTGCCCCAGTTTCTTCTGTGTTTTCTGGTGGGTTTGGCTGACATTGCGGGGGAACACTTCCAGTGTGGTCTGTGGATGCCCCTCGATCGATGGCACCTGGACCAGATCTTCATTCATCGGTTGACCAACGACCGCTGGAACTTCATCATGAACTCCCGGGTCGAGGCCACGAAGCGCGCCCAGGAACGCACCCAGGCGGGCCACGACGCCAAACGCGATTTCTTCTACTACCTGCTGAACGCCCGGGACCCGGAGTCCGGACAGGGGCTGACCACCCCGGAGCTCTGGGGCGAGGCCAACGTTCTGATGATCGCGGGCAGCGACACGACGTCGACCACCCTCTCGGCCACGGTGTTCTACCTGGTGCGCAACCCGCTTGCGATGGAGCGGCTGAAGAACGAGGTCCGCGGGGCGTTTACTTCTGTCGAGGACATTGTCTCGGGCAGCCAACTCAACGAGCTGGTGTACTTGAAGGCTTGTCTGGACGAGGCGCTGCGGCTGGCTCCCGCCGTGCCGGGGGCGCCTCCCCGCGAGGTGATGGAGGGCGGCGCCATGGTGGACGGGGTGTTCCTGCCTGAGGGGACCGATTGCGGCACGCCGACCTTCTCCATCCACCGCCAGGCTGCGTACTACCGTCAACCGGGTGCGTACCTGCCGGAGCGCTGGATCGAAGGCGCGACGTGTAAGACGGAGTTCGAGTCCTGGGAGACGAGTAAAGAGGATGTCGAGGTCGCGCGACGTGCGTTCTGCCCGTTCAGCATCGGTCCGCGCGGCTGCATCGGCAAGAGCATGGCATTCATGGAGATGCGACTGACGATTGCACGGTTGATCTTCCTCTTTGATCTGGCGTTGGCCGACCACCGCGGGGAGGACGCCGAGGGCCACTTGGCGCTGGTGGATCACTTCACCAGCGCCAAAGAAGGGCCCAATGTGACTGTACGAGTGCGTACGTAGCTAAGCTGATGTAGATTGAGAACACCTAAAGCACAGTACATAATTTTCTCGAAATCAGATCCAACCTTCCAGTGCACAGTAGAGGCTGGTTGCAGGGCCGATACCAGGCAAATCGACGCTATCGGAAGGACACGTGCCGGACACGTGCCGCCATCCCCAGGCAGCGAGACAGACTGCCCTTCTCTTCCCCTACATTTCTCTCCCACTTCCCTTCTTACATATCAAGAAATCAGTCACTCGTTTATTTCCTTTGATCTCCTCAATATTCAAACTCTCGTTAACCTATTTTCGTTGCCTATTGTTTTGCTTTTAACTTTCATCTTTGTTCCCCCAAACATCGAGATGCCCCCTTCGGCGCTGACCACGACCTTCATACAATCGACCTTCCTTAATGCCATTGCCAACCTCCTCGCTCAGGTCATAGATCAGTACCACCGCGGTGTACGTAGCTTGATTTCTTTTTCCCGTCGTCAATTTTCCCGCAATCCCGTGCATGTATAGAAAAACACACAAAACACGCTATATACATACAAGAATCCACGGTGTCCTCCTCAACATTGACCTCTGTCATGCATGACTAACATGATTTGGGGGTAATGGGGGAACTGGGGAATTGGAGGAGTGGGGGAATAGTTTGGGGGTACTAGGTAGTGGTGGTAAGTGGATGAGAGAGAGAGAGAGGGTCCTAGACTACAACTCAACTCAAGATTTGTTTCTTTGGGGTTCTGAGTTTCCCCGCCTTTGCCTTTGCCGTGCCTTGCCCTGCCGTGTTGAAACGGTGAACCCTTGGGCCTTGACGCCTTGTCTCCAAATGATCTTCCGGATCATCCCGAGTCCGAGGCCGAGGCCGAGTCCGAGTCCACTGCGGGAGGCACCAACCCTATGATCCATGATGTATACATCGATTACCTAAACGGGTAATATGTATACTTCTGGCCATTCCCTTGGTGTCATGTCCCCAGGACATCATGGATACACTAGGCACTTACCACCTAGCAGGGCACTTGATTCATGCCGAGAAACAGACCTCATCAACACCGAGATCCAGCTTCTCTCTTCCTTTTTGATAATCTAAACACCAAGCCTATCCCCCACCCACACAAATATGGGAGCCCCAACCCAGCCCCAACCACCACAACCCAAACCTACTCCCCATCACCAAAGAACAACCACAAACCGGACCCTCCCTATTCTCATCCACCTGTCCACCATCCCCCTACTTCCCCCCCTTAACCCCCTCCATCCTCCCCTCCCCCCCCTAATTTCCCTTCCCAGAAACCATTCCACCTAAACCCCACCGCCCTCCTCCAATTCCTCATCTACGGTCTCCTCAGCGTCCTCCCCAATTTCCTCTGGCAACGGTTCCTCGAATCCCGCTTCCCGGGGTTCCCCTCCTGGCGGCGGCGGTGGTCGTCGGCCCTCACCACCACCACCACCACCACCACCATTCCCGGGACATCATCCACCCCCACCCCGCCCAATCCCGCTACTACGAAGGGCGCACCACCGAAAGGGGAAGTATGCATCCCCATCCCCATCATTCCCATCTTTCCCGAAAATACCACGACCAAGGCCAAAGCCAAAGCCAAAGACCAAGACCCGAGAAGGCAAGCGGGGAAGTTCTACCCCCGCAGCAGCGGCAGCAGCAGCGGAGTCCGCAACTTCCTCGCCAAGTTCCTGCTGGATCAGACGGTGGGGTCGGTGATGAATATCGTGCTGTTTGTGGTGTTGATCAATTTGTTGAAGGGGGTGAGTTGGGCGGCGTGTTGGGGGTTGGTGCGTGAGGTATGTGCTTTTTTTACCTTGACTGTGGTTGGATTTTTGGGGGAGGGGGCGCCGCGGGGGGGGGGGTTCCCTTTGATGGCTGGGGCTCGGGCTTAGGTGACTTGACGATGACGAGACGATGCTGACTTTTGAGCTGGGGGCAGGACTTCCGGCCGATCATGATGGCGCGGCTCAAGTATCGGCCGCTCGTCTCGGTGCTCATGTACACAGTGGTGCCGGTGGACCGGCGCGTGGTGTTTGGGAGTGCCTGTGGGGTGATCTGGGGGGTGTATTTGAGTTTGTATGCGGTGGTTTAGCCAGTGTCAAAATCTGGCGTCGTGGATATGGGCTGCATAATACTTCGCTTTGTTTCACACTAGGTGCTTGGGGCTTGGGGCTTGGGGCTATTCTGTCAAAGAACGATAGGGGCCCAATTGTCAACCATAGACTAGTAATGCTTCGCGTTCATATCATATTAGCATATTACAGTACATCACCCCGCCACTGTATGGATTCCCCGATCTGCCAACTGAAAAGGATAAATCTACATACATCCATGATGTAGCAATCTGAAACCCAGCCCCAGTCATTGTAGAAAGTGTAAAAAGAAAAGAAGATTACACTTTTGCGAAGCAGCAGAAGAATCAGCGCAGCCAATTCCAGCCTACATCAAGCGGCCGTCCGCTCAATCCTTCGTCCCTTGACGGACAGCCATTCAATAGGCAACGCCCCCACCAGCGCCAGCGCCCCCATCGCCACGGCCACATAGAAGGTCTGCATGATGGCCGAGTTGTACGCCTTTAACGCCTGCGGCAGCGTACTCTCCGGCACGACGTGGCGTAGCATGGTCGCTCCGGCGCCCATCACCTGGCGCACATCCAGCCCCGCAATATGCTCCAGGTTCTCGCGCAGCTTGTTCTGGAACACGTTCTGGGCGACCGACACGAAGATCGCGCCGCCGAGCGTCTGCGTGAACACGACGATGGCCGTGGCGCTGGGCACGTCGGCTGGGCCGAGCGCGGCCTGACATACCAGCATCGGTTGCTGCAGGCCGATGCCCGCCCCGATCCCGATGATGATCTGGTAGCCGATCCAGTGGGCCGCCTTCGAGTCGGGCTCCAGCGTGCTGAGGAGGCCCCCGCCGATGGCCACGAACACCGGCGATGCCAGCAGGAATGGCGTGTAGTACCCGAAGACCGAGATCAGGACTCCGGCGACCATGGCGAACACAACGACACCCAGCAACATGGGGAGGTTCATGATGCCCGACTTGGTCGCTGATACGCCCTTGATTGCCTGGAACCAGATCGGCAGCTATTTGCAAGTATATTAGCTACTGTTTCGTCACTTGACACAGATACAAAGCAAAGAGGGGCACTCACATAGTAGACGAAGGTGAAAAACGAGCCGCCCATACAGAAGGTGAAAAACGCCCCACCCCAGACGTTCCGATTCTTGATCAGTCTCGGTGGGATGGTGGCCTTGTCCTTGCCCCAGATTTGCGTCCCGATAAAGCACAGAATGAGTAATCCAGATAGGAGGAACAATGCGATGATGCGGCCACTGTTCCAGGCGTAGGTGGTACCGCCCCACTGCAACGCCAGGAGCATGCAGATGACGCCCGGGAGAAAGAAGGCCGTGCCGGGGAGATCCAGCTGAGACACTTGATCCCTGAATCCGTACGTGCTCTTGACCGACCTAGGTGCCTTGAAGAACATAAGGATAAACAGGATGGTCAGCCCACCGATAGGCAGATTGATGTAGAAGCACCACCGCCAGCTGAGGTGATCGGTGAACGCGCCCCCCATGAGCGGCCCGGCCACACTGGCCACGCCATACATCCCGGCCAGCGTGCCAGCGTAGACCGGTCTTCGTTCCAGCGGTGCTGTTTGGGCAACAATCAGCATGGCCCCGGAGAAGAGACCGGCTGATCCGACCCCAGCAACGGCTCGCCCGATGATCAGAGCCACCGAATTGGGGGCCAACGCGCAGATCAACGACCCGACCTCGAAGATGGCCAGTGCAATCAGATACACCCATTTCGTCGAGTAGAATGTGTACAGCTTGCCGAAGATCAAGGTGAGCGCACAGGTCGTGAGGAGGTAGGCACTGCCGTACCAACCCACGTCATCCAGGGAGTGGAACTGATCGGTGATCTTGGGGATGGCCGTGGCCAGGATCGTATTGTCCTTGACACGAGAAGAGAGTCAGGGGAGCTCCACACGTTAGTTTCAATTTTGATGAGATCACTTACCAAAGCAATACAGAAGAGAGAGATGGAAAGTCCGATGAGAATCAGGGCAAGCTTCCAAGAAGTGGGATATTCTGGCTCTGAACCAGCAGCGTCATCACCGTGACGCGAGCTTGTTGACTTGGCCTCATTCAGCGGCACATGGATCTGAGAATGGGAGGATGCTCCACGGGACGAGTGTGCAGGAGTACTGTCGCGATCAGTGGATTGCATCCTGCTGGAAGCAGCCTTTCTCATCTCCCTTCTGTTACGCGGAGGAGTCAACTCGATCGACGACGCTTGACGAGACATGGTCCCAGGATGAAGGAAAACACACACGCCCTCTCTGTGATATCAGTCGAATAGAGTCACTATAACACCAGCAAGATGTAGACGATTCTTGGACTAGCATGGACCGATAAATCGAATTAATGGTAAGGTGAATGGGTCAAGGTGCCGTGACAACGTTAGTGTTGGAGGCAGAAACCAAACGCTCAGTCAGTCAGTGCAGTACCAACAATAGCAATGTCAATCAAGTGGAAAGAAAGGAAATGGCAAGACGAGATCACTGAATCAACACTGGCCAGCAGGCACTGGCACTGGCAGAACAAAGTCCCTCCCTAATTTGGAACCGGCTGTACCACCGGACCTTTTCCCTTTTCCCTTTCCTTTCCTTTCCACTCTGACGGCGTTTGTCGTCATCAGAAGGAATCCATCCATCCATCCACTGCAGACACGATGGTCGGGGAGCATGACTGTAACCCCATGCTGACTGTGGTGTCCATCCCTGTTGCATGCTCGTGTCCATTCCCAGACGTCTTCTTTTGTATGGCCCCGGACTAGCTCACCACCCTCTCTCTGGCCTGGCCTGGCCTGGACTGGAAGAGGTCAGGAAATCGGGGCTGAACGCATGCAGTGACAGGTGGGATTGGGATGGTCACACAGGCTATGATGAATGAGTGAGCCATCAACAGCTGCATGCATGGCACCGCCGTCCGTGGAGTCTTTGCCTGCTGTCGTCCGGACATTCGGGCGGATATCTACTTCCGCAGTCCGGGCATAGAAGAACATTCACCCACACACAGGCCTGTAGTTGAGTGAATACATCCTCATCAGCCAGTCATAAAAAGAGAATGGGGCTGTCAAGAGGCTCTTAGCTCTGGCTCAGCCGAGAGGAATATTCCCACAATACTCTCATGCGGGCTTGATCACAATGTTCCCATCTGGACGAAGGGATATCCTTACCCCAGAACTATTGCGGCCTGATCGACTGGACATGAACAAAAGGGCCATTATGCTAGCAAGAAAGGTAGAGCTTATTTGTTATTCCCAACCAGTAAACCTAGGATATATTCACAAGATGTGCCAATCAAACAGTTGTGCAACGCCGTAAAACATGATAGTGTATCCAGCACCTCCCTACTTCCCAGCCGCTCTGCCAACACCTGATCCATGCGGAATTTCAGCCATTTCCCTTGCGGGTCCGAGTCCAGACTCGACATCAATGCCTGATATCCTAGCAAAAGGCCGCTCAATCCAACAAAAGTTGAAGCAACATTGAAAAATCACCAAAAAACAGCAGATGCCCCCGATCCCTCACTGGCCACGCAGGCCGCTGGTGTTGGGCTTCTTGGCATCCTCTTTGCTGGCAACTAGAGCGATCAAAGCAGCACCCACACCACTGCCATCCTTAGAGATACCAATGCGGATCTTCTTGTTACCGGCCTCGCCAACCTCGGGGACCTCGCGGAGCGCATCCCGCATGTGGCCCTCGAAGTTGGGGTAGAACTCCACCAGACTGCCATCCACACCAATATCCACCAGATCCTCCGACTGCAGCTTGCCAGTGGAGTGGAGAACAGCCGCCAGAGGCACGGCAGCCAGACGAGCGGCACGCTTACCAATAGCATGTACCACGGTCTGGATGGCTTTGCAATCGTCGTTGCTGGGGTTCTCGATCTTCAGGTGATCCTTCAGGGCCGTCTTGATCTGATCCAGGTTCTCGGTCTTGTCGGCCTCAACCAAGCTCAACAAGCTAGTGTCAATGCCCCACTGGCGGAAGAGGGACGACTCCTTAGGGACCGAGACAGTCGACGATGCGCTAGACTTGAGGAAACCCAGGGACTCGTTGCCGTGCATGTCCAGCATGACACGGCGCAGGATCTCACCTAGGAACATACCGGAGACGCGCTTCTCGAACATCTGAATGCCGGGGTTGTTGCTGTCCGCGTCCAGTTGCTGGTCATAAACGGTGTTGGGAAGGACGCTCAGGTGGTTGTCGAAGCTGCCCCATTCGGCGTTGATGATCATCTCCCCGGTAGACTTGTCGTACGAAGAATGTTCAATGGTCTGCATCTTGGTGATGCGGTCGAGCTTCTCGACATAGGCACCGTTGGTGCCCGTGCCGAAGATGGCGCCGAGGAAAGTACCTGTGGCACCAGGGGAGGTGTAGGAGCGAGCCATCAAGGTTCCCACGGTGTCATTGACCAGGGCGGCCACACGCACGGGGAGATCCAGCTCATCGATGGCGCTCTGCAGCAACGCGCAGACATCCTGGCCCACGGCATCGGGGATGTCGAAGCCCTTGGTCCAACGAATCAGGGTACCCTTGTTGATGCCCAGCTGGCGGACGGGGAAACTGAAGGTGAAACCCAGGTCAAAGAGTTCCTCCTCGCAGTTGTCCTTCTTCTGGTTGCGGCGTCGAATGTGTGCCTCAAAGTGCTCGTTGTGGTGAATGCGCAGGAACGACTCGATCTGACGTGCCAAGAACAGGAACAGATCCTTGGCGGTGCCGGAGGACATGGTCTCCCGAGGGATCATGATCTTAGACTGGGTCAGGGAGAAAGTGGTGTCTCCATGGAGGTCAATGGAGCACACGCGGAAGTTGGTTCCGCCAAGGTCTACAGCCAAATACAATCCCTGTTGTGTGTCTGATCAGCTGGCGGGGTCCGGATCGATCCGGAGGGAAGAGGCCCGGCGCCTGATTCTCTTACCTTTTCTGTGCCATTGGGTACAGAGGTCACGAAGGTTGGGATCTGGCTCAGGGTGGTGTGCTCCTGCGACAGGCCCTCGTCCATCTCGCGCACGTACTCTGTTACACCGCGACGCACCTCGTCGGCGGGGTAGTCAAACTGGCGGGCAATCCGCACAGCCTCTTGGAGAACTGGGGAAGACATGATGACGATTTTGATGTGATGAAGGAGGGGAAGAGAAGAGTAGGTGAGAATGTCGCAAGGATGACGAGGACAAAGAATATGGAGAGGATTCCCGGGAAGAGAGAAACTGGAGGGAGAGGCGGGGGAGGGGGAGGGGAAAGTAGTAGGCCGGAAGAGGGAATAGACTTGCGGAAAGAGAGAGGGGGGAAGAGAGAGATCGAAGTATGGAGATGAGGAGTGGATGAGTGAATAGACAGATGAAGAAAGGATTTTTGGAGCGGGAGAGAGAGGAGAAATGGAGCAGGTGAAGAGGGTAACAGCAGGATAATAAACGAAAGGACAGAAGGACGGAGGAAAGAGAATAATACGGGAATAATGATGAGACTATCCCATTTTCATGGCGGGGTCGATGAGGTCAGTCCGTCGCGGGGCGCCCAAGGGAAAAAAAACCAACGACAGGGCCGGGTTCGCCGGTCATCGCCTTCGCCTATCCAGTTCCCGAGTCCCCTTCCCGATTCTTACGGTAACCATCCAGTAACTATTCAATTCTGATTCAGTATTCATTATTCAACAGTCCCGGTAGCGAGTGCACTGTCAAGATTCCATGACGTACAGAAACCACGAGTGCTGGTGGGGGATTGGGTCGTTCCTTCACCGGTGAGGGCAAAAGAGGTTTAGTAGAGAAGGAAATGGAAGGGGCCCGATGGAGAACCTGAAGCCTTTCTGCCAAGTGAGTCTCACGATGGTGCGGTATTGCTCAAGTATCCTGGGTAATTTTCCCCTGATGATGAGACATGTGGCCTCCCACATCTCCAGATATGCCTCTGATCTGGGGCATATGGAGAGAAAATGAACTATACTGTGTACGGAGTAGGTAACACGCGACGAAGGATTGGTCCCCCCCCCTTTCCCCTGCAGAGTACAGAAGCTGTCAAAGACAAGAACACCATTGATCATGTCAGCTGCATCTCGATGATCATCAGGACCCTGCCTACTGTAGACAGAGACGTAACCTTAAAAAGAACAATGTTCCCCGGGGGGGAAGGAATTGATGGTTGGTAGCATCACCATACGGGAAGATGGGATACGAGCAGGATCAGGCGACTTTGAATCCGTACCGGATGCGGTATCAAGCCCCAGGCCACGAGATCAGGCACTAACTAGGCACCAAGAGCCAAGGCACCGAGGCAGAGTTATCCGATCTAACACCTCAGGCATTCCAACGTCCAGGCATCCAGACATTCAGGCAGAGGTGAGAAAAATCAAGGCACTAAGGCAGGAGCTATCCGTCGTCACTGACTAATGGCACGTGACTATGGCCGGCGGAAGTCGGCTGGGAACGCAGAAGCATCAAGATGCAATCCCCTCCGCCGACAGTGGAATTGTCCCCGATCCGTGCATTCAGCGGCCACTCATTACCCTGCCTTCCTCCTGAACGTACCATCGGTCTTCGTGTGGCTGACGGACTCAACCCATTTTCCTTGATAACGAACCCTCCCTAACACACTCCTCAATTCATCACATCATGGGCGCCGGCAGCTCCAAGCCCGAGGCCTCGGCCGGCTCGACACACGTTTTCACGAGGTATGTACACATCACAGCTGAGGCAGCTCGCCTGCATCATGCTTGTGTGTCTCCCCAATTTACACCCATGCGCCAAGAAAACAGGATTGGCGCAATTGCGCGGCTCAATGGGTTGGAGAAACAAAGGTGACGATTTCGTCACGACCCTTCCAATCCGGGAAATCACATACCTCACTCAACACCTACCATTCATGAGTTCCAATGGCGCCTGGGTCAGTCCGGACCAAAGCAAACTTGAAAGCTAACAACAACTCCCAATCCAGCAACTCCCCCGTTCAATTCTCCTCCAACCTAGTTGAGTCCCTCCAGAACAACACCGAGGTACGTTACATTGAACAATCCAATCCACCCTTCCCCCAAATCCCCAAATCTCCTCCACAACCTCATCTACCCAACCATACTAACTCTTCTCGAAAAAAAAACAAAAGACCGACTCCTCCCGCGCCAAAGCCCTCGAACTCCAGATCCAAGCGCGCGTCTCGGAAGAACTCGAACGCCTCCGCGCCCGCGAACAGCAGACCCTCGCGGAGATCGAGAAGCGCCTCGCCGAAGTCAAAGACACCGCCACCTCTTCCTCTTCATCAGCATCCTCCACATCCACCCCGAACATCGCCTACCCGCCGGGCTCCCTGAACCTGGATGCGCCCCGCATCCCCTTCGCCGGCCGCGAGGCCACCCCCGCCGCTGCCGCGGCCCCGGAGGCCCAGAAGCCCATCAACCTGGACGTGTCGCGGGACTCGGTGAACTCGGAGATCGAGGAGCTGCGCGCCCGGCTCGAGGGCCGGCGGCGGTTGGCGCAGCTGGACGGGGAGGTGGAGAAGGCCCGGGCGGAGGTGGTGGGTTGTCTGCGGTTGAACGACCGGCGGCCGCTGAACTGCTGGAAGGAGGTCGAGAGCTTTAAGCGCGAGGTCGCGAAGATGGAGGAGGCGTTTGTGGATCGGATTGTCGGTTAAAGTCGGGGATAAAATGGGCAGACAGACAGAAAGACAGAGACGGGGGGGATCTTTGGGAACATGCGTCCACTGACGCTTGTGTAAAGTGTGTTGTTAGTTCTGTGTGAGTGTATGTGTTAGCTATGTTGTTTCTTTATGAATAGATTCGATTCCTGTGGTTTTTCCTTCTTGGTTTGTGTCATGATGTATATGTCCGTCGAATTGGGGTTTATTTTGGCTGCTTGCTCCATAGATTCAAGCACTTGTTTCCGTTTACGAAAGGTTAGACTCAGCAGGGTCTTTTGCTGGCAACATACACAACTCAACATGGCCATCATTAAAACCCCCAACCAAGACATTTAGAACATCCGCCTGGAACCAACCTTTCCTTCGCATGAGATCATTGATATTCAACACCCACCTCAAACCACACCTAATTGGCATCCATAAATTCACTCTACAAAACTGCGGGGGTATCATGAAAGACCGAAACCCATCTACATACAACATACAACCATGAAGAGCATTACCTCCAACTCAGATCCCATCCACAGCTAAACAAGCTCCCAATACCCCAGTCGCCCAACCAATTCACCCGCAGACCGAACAATGCACAGGTTCTTCTTCGCCTTCGCTTTGTCTTTGCTAGTAGTAGCCTTCCGGACCTTGATGATCTGAATCGACCCGATGCCCGTTCCCTTGCCCTCCGCCAGGTTGTAGTTGCCCGTCGTGACGAAGCCAATCAGATCATCCTCGGAGGGAAGCGGGAGGTGTGTCTGACGGTCATCGACCGTGTCGGCGCAGGGGGCTATGAGCGATGCAGCGAGACGCTGTTGGGCGTCTTCTTTACTTGGAGGCTTGTCGGTGGCGGTGGTGTTGGCGTGGGATTGTTTACTTTGGTCGGTCTCCTTCGAAGCGAGGGAGACCCAGCGCTGTCTGAGGTCTGGGTCATTGGTGGGGAGACGGTAGATGCGGGCTCGAGGAGTCGGGGTGCCACGGCTGACGAGGAAGATGCGAACTGTGGCAAGGGTGGCGTTATCAACACTGACTGATCGATCACTGAGTGCGCGGGATGCTTGTGATGACGAAAGTTGGTGGATGTTCAGCGGTGGAAGGCTTGTAGTAGCATCAGCAGCAGCAGCAGCATCCCTCCTAGTGATATCTGCCTCTTTGTCCATCTTCTGCGCATCCTCGGCGGCCTTGGCTGGACCCTGAACGAGTCTTTCCCAATCGCATGCCCAACCTCGGCCGATTTCGCCTTTCTGACCATTGCGTAGATCCAGAGAGTCGAATTCGACCCGACGCCCCTTGGGCCGTCGCTCCCATGCCTTTCTCGCCTCCTCTCGCTCGCGCAGACCCCATTCCCACCCGGCACGGGTTCCGGGGTAGTCGCCAGGGAACCAGGGTTCACCGGATTCGAATGCCAGCTGTTGCTGCTCTTTGAGACCTCCGAATCGGGGGATGCCTCCGCTTGACAGTGGGTAGTACATCAGGCTGTACCAGACAGGGAGAACGCATTTCCAAGGGAGCAGGATCGTCCAGCTACCCGGGGCGTTGTTGTCCTTCGATTGCGCAGGCGATCGACACGCAAGGACGATGACAGGGATCTGCGGATCCGTCTCCTTTGCTGGGGGGATTTCTCCCGGCCCAGCTGCTGAGCGTCGCCGATTGATGGCCTTCTGGCTCGGCATCTGACGCGCAGCGGCCAGACGCGCACGGCGATCAAAAAGAGCCGGTGCAGTCTGGGTACGATCCGGGTGCCAGTCAGAGAGCAGAACCGCCAAATCTTGCATGTCACTCTCGGATGTTGGGGGTTTCAACGTCTTTGGAGGGTGGCTCAATCGGGGATCGGAGACAGAGAAGGCGAGCAGCGCCTCTCTCGGTAACGAAGCAGCGTTGGACACCCCCAACAAGGATCTCCAAGTAGCCTCCGGGCTATTCTGTGCGAAAGGCTTTCCATCCGCGACGACCGGCTTCAGGGAAGCGATCAACGCCTCCATTGACCCGGGGCCAGTGATTTCAATACTACCAATCTCGAATCGGAGATCCTCGACCATGACGGGGGGGTTCTGCTGTTTCGAGATTACCAGCACCTCATTCCACAGCTGCAGGAAAGCCGACGGGTGAACACGGATCCAAAGCTTCTTGCGTTGCTGCTGCTGCTGCTTCTTTTGTTTCCCAGCAGCAGCAGCAGCAGCAGCAGCAGCAGCAGCATTAACATCCAACATCTCCACATCCCGATCCTCACACCCCGCAGCCCCAGCAGCACACCACACCAACATAACCTCCGCAACCGGCCTCCTGCTCTCCCCCTTACCCGGCGGCGCAGCAGCCTCAAACACCCAAGCCCGTAACCCTCTCTTCCCCTCCCTCCACTTCCTCCCCTTAGCCCCCCAAGCACCCTGCCCCGCATCACCATCAACCCCCAGGCCCCTCAAAACAGCCTCCACCGCCGCCCCCGCCCCCTCCAACTGCAAGGTAGCCATATAACTCAAATCCCACGCCACGCAGCCCCTCGTACCCCTCGCCCGGTGCGTAGGCCGATAACTCTTCTCCGTCGGCGACAACGGCACGGCAAACCGCCACAGCGGATCCAGCGAAGTGGTCATCTTCGCCCGCTTCGCATGGAACATATGGGTCGGCAACCAGGTCTTGCAGCGCTGCCGTTTCCGGAACCGGGCCTCCGGCGGCGCGGGGCGCGAGAGCCGGTTCTTTTTGATCTTGGGCACGCGCGGCGCGATCTCGAACGCATGAGTTGCTGCTGCACCCCCGGTGTTCGCCGCCGCCGCCTCCAGTTGTTGTTTGAGTTCAGCTGCCCGCTGCGCCCGCCGCTGCACCCGTTTCGCCTTCGTCCGCTGGTTCAACCCCTGCAAGCGGCGCGCCGTCTCGAGGCGGATGCGCATCTGTTCGGTGGGTTTGCGGGTGCGCGAATTGACGGTCGGGGTGTTGTCTTCTAGCATCTGTGCGTATACCAGAATTCAAGGGGTTAACAAAGGAGAGAACAATTTAGCCCCTCCCCCCTCCCCCGGAAAAAAAAGACGTACCTCTCTCCTCGCCCTCGCCCTCAACCGCCTCGGCACGCGCTTGACATTATGACTCGCCGTCCGCCGCCGCAACGCCCGCGGCACCTTCTGGAACGCCCGACTCGTCAACGCCGCCCGCGACCGCTGCATCCCGGCCTCCAGCGACCGGATCTCGAACTCCCGGGCCTCGACGTACGCCGCGACGTCCAGCTCGCCGGTGACGGACAGAGCCGCGTCCGAGGTCTGCACGGCCAGGGTCCGGGCGTCGAAGGTTTTGGCGCGCTTGCGGGCGGCAGCCGCCGAGAAGCCATTGTTGCTTTTGCTGTTGTTGTTGTTGTTGTTGTTGTTGTTGTTGTTGTTGGTGTTGTTGTTGCCATTGCGGCTGCTAGTGATGGTGCTGTTGTTGTTTCTGCTCCCCGCCGCCGCCGCCGCCGCCGTGCGCTTCGAAGGCGGATTGAGGGCCATCCGTATGATTTTGAGAGGAGTCTTGGAAGGATAAAGGAAATGAAAAATGACTGGCCCGGGATGGATTAAAGAAACAAGGTGGAGGGCAGGTTCGTAGACACTTTTGTTTTCAGCCTCTCCGCTTCTCTAATCCCTGCCTGATTGTAACTTCTGTCAATGATAAAATGATGGAATGGGAACAAATGCATGGCCGGCACATGGAAAGGTTCAGGTTTAGCGCAAGTCACGCTCCCGCCGCGCCGGCCAAAACAGCCACACACAAAAAAAGGCACCCACCAATGACAGCCACTGGAGGGGCTCAGTCTTCAAACAACTTAATCTAAACGCTTGCGAGCTTCGGGCTTAAAATCATGTAGATCTTTGCAAGCTAATGGTTGGCTTGATCTCCTCTCTACAGATGTTTTACAGCTTCTGAGTATACCGGCCTGCTTGTTACGCCTTCTACGTCGACGACTCCAAAAGACTCAAGACTCTTTGACATCATTCACTAAGGTTGCAATGGATCAAATTTCATAGCATCGTAATGCGTTGAATGTCTTCAAGTATCTAGTGGGAAGTCTAGCTCTTTCTAACATGACTTTTTGTTTTGCCTTTATTCCAGGTCATTATCCCACAAAGCTAAAGTTCAACGCCGTCTATCAAGCCCATGCAACCTCTATGGTATTGGAAATTGGTGCATTTACAGGTTCTTGAGGATGGTCTCGGCGCTCGAGAACTGTGATGAACGTTAGTGGTCGATCAAAAAAATCTCAACGAAACAAGTGGCTTAACATACCTCGAGGTGGTTCTTAGCGGGCTCACGCTTGGCGTAGGTGACCTTGCCGTGGTCGATGATGATGGCGTAGCGGCCAGTGCGGCCCTCCTCATCAGCCCAGCCGATGCTCTTGGAGAAACGGGCCTCGGGGTCGGAAAGGAAGAGCTGTGATCTGTCAGCTGGGGCTCAATGGGGCAGTGGAAGAGGACGAAGAACATACGAAGTCATCACCAGTGACGTTGTTGGCCTTACCCCAGGCGCTCATGACGTAGGCATCGTTGTAGGCAAGGACGGCAACAACGTCGACACCCTTGGCCTTGAGCTCGGGGAGCTTCTCGGCGTACTCGGGGACGTGGCGAGCAGAGCAGACAGGGGTGAAAGCACCGGGGAGGGCGAAGAGGACGACCTTCTTGTCGGCCCACTCCTTGGAGGCGTTGTAGTTGATGGGGATACCGCAAGCCTGGATCTCCTTGTTCTCCTCAGCCCAGGGGATGTAGCTATCAAGCAGAGACGAGTCAGTGGAATTGTTGCGAGGTCGAGAGCGATGCGGTGGCAAGGAGGTATTGCCAGAGCCAGAGATAGCCGTGCATGCAGGAATAGACAAGAGATAGTGAGAGAATGAACTTACGAGAAGACGACGTCGGAGGGGAAGCTGTCACCGGGGTTGAGGCCAGACATTGTGATGGATTGGTTGTGTGTGAGAAAGGTGGGTTGAAGATGAGAGAAGTGAGAGAGTTGTTGATGAATTGGAAGAAGTGGGTTGGAAATTGGTTTAAGTACGTAAGAGAAAGAAGGAGAAGAGAGGACGGATGGAGGGAGGAACCCGTGGCGGGTTAAATATATGCTGATGGGATGGGATGGATGGATGGTTCCTGCTGGAAGGCGTGCCTGTTGGCAGGCCAGCGAATTAACGCGAACGATACGGCAGCGACGGCCCGTCTAAGGCGCCATAAGGTGATCCGAAGCAGAAAGATACCGAATCAATTGGATTCGTACAGTGAATTTTGGAGGGGGGTTGTATTATCAAGAAAGACCGCCCGAGACTGAGCCTTGGGAGAGCCCCGCCAATTGCCCCTCCTCTCCACCGCCGATATCTCTGCTATCTAGACCGTCCTCGGTGACAAATCCACCTCCGTCCTCTCCTTCATCGTCATTGTCTAGATCGGGATGCTGATTGATAACACTCAATTCTGTGCTCACTGCTCAGGGGCTCTAATACCTTATGGCTCAGCTGACACTGTGCTCAACTAATCTTTGGGCCATACTGTGAGTGATTATTTCGGAGTCTCGACCGGGTTACAGGCCGAGATCGATAGTAAGTCTGAAAGACAGTGCAGGTGGAACTTATTCCCCCACTCGGATCATCATCATGATACCTCAGACTGACTTTTAGATACAGTTACAGAGGTATCTAAGCCATGAGTTCCATTATGATACTATCCAGTGCCGAAACAATTATCAATCGCGTCCAACAGCTCCTCGTCGAACAACTACACATAGCCTAAGGAACCAACCGATTGCCACGGCAGTCTCACCCAGTAGCATATCTCCGCCTCATTTCACCCAGTAGCATATCTCCGCCTCATTTCCCAAATACTAATCACAAAATCAAACTCCAGGACTGACAGACACCACCCTACCTAGTATCACTCTCATCAGCAACCTAAGGTACCTACCTATACAGAGTCACAGATCCCGGCCCTGCAGGAGGCCGTTGAGACGATCCCACTACTCCCGAGGGAGCGCGCTCATTGGCGGATGGCCAAGATGGCGAGGACTGTGGATCTCCGAGGCGAATCTCAACCCAATCACACTTCCCACGGCGTTTGTTGCTGGCAGGGATAGAATCTTCTACGGCTTGTCGGCTTTCTCACCGCCAAAGACCCGCCAACTACGTAACCAGCCCCGAGAACCTTGGGGCTTTCGTTCCCCCGCCACTATGCCGGATCAAAACACCCCTGGTTCCGAGGCAACAAGGCTTGGTTTACCCATCACAAGGGCTATACCATGAAGGGGGAAAAAAAGAAGAACTTGGTTCCGTGGGTGCACATGCAATTTTGTGTCATGCTCGCCACAGAAGTCAATTGAGGTTCTTTTGCTGTAGGAGGGTTGATTCTGCGGGTCAAACAGGCACCAATCTGATAAGACGTTTCGCTGCTTGTCCTCCGTAGTAGCGGTGGCTGTGAATACGCGATGTTCTGGTGTCATCTGGACCCTTTGATTACGGTCAAGATTTCTACACAACGACTGATTGCTTATGTAGAACTCAGTGATTTATGCTCAGTCATGCACAATACGCTGGGTCTCGGTCATCGCATGCGACCGACTGATTATCTAAGGCAGGTCGAAGTCCGGGGCAACCGTCTCCACTATGCTTATACAGCATCTGGATTCTAGAAGGCGATAGGTTAATTATCGCCACCAATATAATCAGGGACTGATCTATACATGCTTCCACACAGTGCCCAGGATCACTAAGAAATCGTGTCCAGGTGCAGGAATCTCCAATCAGATGAACGGATGGCGCCGCATTCGTGTTGAAGGTTGAGACAAACTACTATTCTTGTGAAGCTGTCACTACAACAGTTGTATTGACAGTGGCATATATGAGCGAATGTAAAAGGTCAAAGCAGTTTTGCCATAGCAGTCATGTTGTCAGACAACTCCATCGCTCGAATTTGAGCAACCATTCTAGAGTTCCGACGCCAGACTCAGAAGCTTAGCGGTGAACCCTTGGTGAAAGACCTCTCCTCCTGCGCCAGCGAGTGTAAAGCAGACAGTAGGATCAGATCGGCGGCCGACAAACCGCTGCTTTGCTGCATACCAGGAACATGAAAAGGCCTTTCTTCAACCTCACAGACCTTGCCATGACTGGGGAGCTCGCCAGTCTGGAAGTATCCTCGGATCACCTTGGCTGAGCACAACGACGGGCCGCTCAAGGTACAATGCTGCAGAACGAGACGTGGAGTATCAGTATGTTTGCCGCCACTGTAGGTAAAAAACCATGACAACCAAGAAGTGTAGGGCACTTACCCCAACTGAGTTCTGCTGTAGTACAACCGACCCGGGGAACTGCTTCGACATTGCGAATGCACTGCAGGGATTTTATTAGCTATATGTCACAACAGACACAGAGAGAGTTAAAAAAGCGGACTGACTTTCGGAGAGGCGTGACTGGGTCGTAAGTGTTTCCCGCAAACAACAGCGGATGAGATGTGTTCCCAGCGATTGGGGCTTTAGTAGAATAAGTCAGGGTTGATAGAACAATCCGAGTATCAATGAATGCGCCTACCATCAAATTGCCATGCAGGCCTTGCCTTCCACTCGATGCAGCCGAAGCGGATCTCAGCCCAGATGTCCCCCACAGTCTCACTCTGGTTACGCAGCGTATGCCAGTAGTTCCTGAACGTCTCTTTATTCATTCCGCGGATATCCTGCCCATCGGAGCATAGGATGCTCATCTGCGCCTCGTCGGTATTTTCACCCGGAACCATACATGGCTTGGAACCATTAGGATCACACGGGGGCGTCCTACGCCAGTCCTGGCGCTCCCGCTGCTTGTACTCGGCAAACGCGGAGCCATTCCTGTGAGTGAGGTCCGTCAAAAATCGTGCCACCCGCTCGAATGACTCCATCGGCGTGTAAACCGCCTGCATAACCAGCATCTTCACATCGCTGTAGGTGATGATGTCCGGGCCGCGGTCCCCGGACGCCGGAACCGCGACCGGGTTCGCCTTGAGGGTCGTCAGGAGATTCTCGTAGCGATCGATCGTCGCTTGCAGGCCCCCCTGCCCCGTAGCGAACGAGCACACCTCCGGGCCGACGGAATCGCAGAGCTCGAAGAAGGACAGCCACGCCGCGTCCGCGTCCTGCAGGTTCGTGAGCCAGCCGCCCGCGTAGTAGTCGTTGACGTCGCACACGCCATCGATCACCGCCCGGTGGATGCGATGGGGCTGCATCGCGGCGAACGTGGATCCCAGGACCGTTCCGTACGAGAACCCCCAGTACTGCAGCTTCTCCTGGCCTGGCACCCAGCGATTACGCCGGAGGATCGCTTTTGCCTCTGCCTGTGTCTCGCTGCTGCTGCTGCCGACGACCGCCTCCAGTGAGCCCCTCTCGCGCAAGCCAAGAATCCTCTTCGTCTCGCGCTCCCGCCACTCGCCATGCCGCTCAATGAGCTCAACCATATCCGCGACCACCGTCGGGGTGTTCATGAACCGCCCGATCCATTCGCCGCTTTCCTCGTCCCCCGGGTGCGTGCAGGTTAGCCCCATCGCCCCATGCCGCGCCCACCGCGCATCAAAGACCCTCTCCTCGCTCCCCAGAATCCCCTCCGCATCCACCTGCAACTTCCACGCCCGTCGCGCGGCCGAGTCACGGAAACACGAGAATGCGGGGGTCGTATTATTGACCCCGCGGGGATCAAAGCTGACCACATCGAAGAACTTTTCTTCGTTTTGTTGTTGCGAATCCGGTGGTGCCGGCTGCGCCGCCGAGTCCACCACGGTCTGGATGTGCTGCCCCCGCTTGAGGAGCATACTCACGCCCGAACCGCCGGGGCCCCCGGGGTTCAAGAGAATCGGCCCGCCGTATCGCGGATCAGTGACGGGGACCTTGGCGGGGCGCTTGATCACGGCCAGTGCGATCTGCGCTCCATGGGTGTCTGTGCGGTTCCAGTCCATGGGGAGCTCGAGGCGGGCGCATTCGTGGCCGTCGAAGCACGGGTGGTAGATGAGGTGCTTGGTGGGTGTGATCTGGATTGTTTTTTTTTCTTAGTCTCGGATTACAAGGATCCAGATCAGACTCAATATGTTTACTTGGTCCCAGCTAAAAGGACTGCCTTGATCGGCATGTGGAGAGCCATGATGGGGCTTCGCGCACTGCGGTCGGAGAAGGTGCAGGTGGGATTGGGACAGAGCCACTGCTCCGACTAGTAGTATGACGATGGCATGAAGGGCTCGTTTTGCGGGTCGTGATGAGCTGGATGGCGATGGTGGGATTGGTGACGGGGGGACAGGAAGGTAGTCGTTTGGTTTCCACGAGGGAGGCATCATCATGTGATAGAAAGGGTTGCCGGCCGGCTTTCTCGAGGAGAAATATCAGCGTGCCCAGGTGTTAAAACAGGATAAATCTTCGTGTGTCATGGGCTGGCATTGTGTTGCTAGCACCGAGTGATATATATGCTAACGGCAAGTCGTGTCCGGTGTTGTATGCGCTAGTCTGTAGCTGCATCGCATCCATGCAGGCAGCAGTCCACGCGGTATTGACGGCCCCGTATCTGCCATGTTCCCAATTGAGTAACTCCTGGAAATTAAGTGCTCATTTGACCTCTATGATACCAAGTAACTAAATTTCTATCGGTTTGAACGCGACCGAGTCCCAATTCTTGGAATTTGCGGGGTTCACTGTTGACACCGAATTGAGGTTGGGTGCATGCTTAAGCATAATGGACGATTGCGTGATATATATTTGGCTGGCAGATAAGGTGGGCGGCGAGTCACCACCTTTCCACAATGTAATTAATCACCGCTTTACTATCTCACCTCCCTTTGCAGAGCTAATCAGAACCCGACCGTCCTATCATCCATCCCCAAAGCTAGCTATCCCAAATTGAATCAGCGAGTAAACCAACTTACTAGGTACAATACGTAGTAACTCGGACTAAAATCTGACATCCAGCCCCAACAAAACAAGCCTGCCTACATGCGTAGCACGATCACATGACCATAAGCATCACATTACCACGAGTCAACCACAACAATTAATGTAATCTCCGAACTATAAGCCAGTGCTCCTCCTCATCAACCACGTATCTCTTATCCCAAGTGCATCTCAGCCAATATAAGCTCATCGAACCAACAAAAAACAATGGCCGACATCAAGCCACCATTCACCGAGGAATCAGCTCGCAAGAAGGTCAAAGCGGCTCAGAATCTGTGGAATTCCCAGTACGTTTGGTCTCCCTCCCAGCTGTTGTCGTTAGGGCTCGAAGGTGCTGTTTGTTTTTGTTTCACCTGTGATTTCTTGCATACTACTACTCTCTGTTTGCAAGATGTCTTTTTGTCGTGTCTCACTCGATATCGCTCACGCCCACGCAGGCATGAAGGAGTCACATCATCATGCATACACTTTACATTTGCTTCCCCCCTCCCACTCCCCCTCCCCCCCTTGCTTGCGAGAATCGAGGGAGACTTCCCGCTCTCCCCCTTTCCTCTCTCTGCAACCCACCCTCGTGCTGCCCCTTTCCATCTTCTGCATTTGCATCACAGGATTTCCCATCTCTCTAAACCTGCACCTCGAGGGCAGCATCATCTTGCAACAAGAAACCCAAGATGTTTGTGCTCAAGACGAAACGTCGGCACCAAAACCTCACCTTAGATCATGCCCTCAGCTTAAATACTATTTTTTCCCTGCACAATACTTACATAACGCCCCAGAGACCCCGTCCGAGTCGCGCAGGCCTACACCCCGACCTGTATCTGGCGCAACCGCACCTCCTTCTTCGCCGGAACCGAGGGCATCGTCGAGTTCCTGACCGCGAAGTGGAAGCGCGAGCGGAGCTATCGTCTGCGGAAGGAGCTGTTCGCGTTCACGGACGACCGGATCGCCGTGCAGTTCTGGTACGAGTTCCAGGACGCGGACGATGGGCTGCGCTGGAAGCGCTGCTACGGGCTGGAGGACTGGACCTTCGACCGCGAGACGGGGAAGATGCGTAAGCGGATGATGAGTGGGAATGATGTCTTGATTGGACCCGATGGGAATGGCGAGGGGAGGTGGTTTGTGGATGGGGTGGATGTTGACGAGGCGGAGATTGGGGAGAAGCATTGGTAGTGATGAGATTAGGTTGACGTCCTTATGTGCTTTTGAGACGATATCTATACTGAGTAGCCCGATATCCCCGCGGCCACGAGCACAGATTTTGCATGCGAGGTCGTTTGCCAGTTCTTCTCGGAGCTGTCAATTAACCCCCCCCTCCCCCCCCCAGCAGATTTGGCGGTGCATGTTCAGTCTGCATGCAGTAGAACTCCGATTGGATGGGTGATAGGGCGCCTATGCAAAGGCGCATTACCCCTCATCTGGACGTAAATTCAACAAAGCATAAGTCTCCGTATTTTGGATTTATTGCTGGTATGTATCCCAGCGATGGAAGTGGTTGTTGGTGTGTGTTGTTGTTATTCTCCAATCATGAGTTGCCGCCCCTGGTTTTAGGGAACGAAGGGGAGGCACTGGAATGTGCAAGCAACTCCCAAATGAACACTCAGGGTTTCCCTTCCCTCCTCTTCCTCTGAGGTGAGCTAGCTCACTGGAAGTTCTGGAGGGATGCCCAAATACTCAGTAGCGTGCGATTGGTGGGTGACCCTCAGCTATCATGTATGGTGAGGCTTTCCACCGATGAAGATTCGACGAGACAACTCGCTATGCGCGAATAACTCGTATCATGGGGTGAAAAATAAATCAACCAGCAGTCAAGCCAGTTCGCCAAGCTCAGCGGGTCACTTTGTTGTCCATGTTGTCCAATGCTGCCTCGAGTGATGTCTTCAGTTCAAGCCTCGAGAATTGGCCAGAGGCTGCATTCCACCCAGTTCTGCGGCAATACCAACCAAACAAAACACCACTTATTGGCCATTCCACGGAGTTGGCCTCTGCATGGTATGCTCCAGACCAAGCCATGGGTGAATCGACCTGTGTTTGTTTGGCTTTTCGGGGTTTCGAGTAATGTGCCCGTGGGGCATGCGCCTATGCGCAAAGTTGGCTGGCACACACATTGCAATGTATACTGTCGGGTGCCTGCCCTGTCCGTCCACTCCCATCATCGATGCTAGCAACAGTCGTCACACTGCCCACCCACTCACCTACCGTTATCGCCGCCTGCATCATAGTCCGAAAGTCGCGTCGTGGTCGTCATCCCACATGTGCTACACGAGGTTTCGCTAGACGAGAATCGACCCGGGAAATTTACTAACCAAGCACTGTTAGGCACGCGACTCTCACCCACTTCGACCTGCTTGATTCACCCACAGATCAAACACAGACGCCTACGTGACTAGTCGACCTAGACCCCATCTTGCTGTCTCGAATACGTGACCTAAACACCTCGCGTCAGTCCGTGTCTCACTATCCTCCAACTTCACACGCGCAAGTCAGGAGGATCTACCTTCCCCTGATCGACTAGATTGACGTCTCGGAGAATCAAACGCAGGATCATATTGAAATGTCAATCCTGAGGCAGGTCATCTCGCAGTGCTAAATCGGGTACACGGGGGGAGATGGACGAGAATAACCAAGTCTACCTGAGTCCTCAGATGGTGCGGACCCCATTGATGGATGCCACAACAAGAGCCAACAAATACCCAAGCCTCAAAGAAGAGAAGGAGGAACAGATGAAGCAAGGACGATACTACCAAGCTACCTCGCCAATGCCGATGTCGATTGTGACCAGTCCATTATCGACAAAGCCCGATGCGGAGATGAATTACGCGACCCCCGTGGCCGAGTCTCGGGCTGCAACAAACCGATACTCAACTATCTCGGCCACATCCACCGCCTCCAACAGGGGAAAGCGGAAGACGCATATTGGACCATGGCATCTGGGAAAGGATCTTGGGAGTGGCGCAAGTGGTCGGGTGAGATTTGCGAAACATACAATCACTGGTCAGACGGCAGCGATCAAAATCGTGTCGAAGAAGTCGGCGGCAATGACGCAGAGCGAGAGTATTGCGGGAATGGACCGGAAAGCAGGTCACTTTGGAGGAACCGGCATGCGACATATTCCATCCGGACTTGAAAGAGAAGTGGTTATCATGAAGCTCATCGAGCATCCGAACGTGATCAGTCTATATGATGTCTGGGAGAATCGTGGCGAGTTGTAGGTACAGCAAGTCTGCTTGTCTGGCTGATTGCTAACTTTCATTCACCAGGTATCTCGTTCTGGAGTACGTCGAAGGAGGAGAGTTGTTCGAGTACGTGCGGAAGCATGGTCCACTGCCGGAAGAAGAGGCAGTGCGGTTGTTTCGGCAGATCATCGCAGGCCTCGGTTACTGCCATCGGTTCAACATCTGCCATCGCGACCTAAAACCCGAGAACATTCTGCTGGACAGCTGGCATAATGTTAAACTAGCTGACTTCGGAATGGCCGCTCTTCAGCCCATGAATCAATGGCTGAATACATCCTGTGGTAGTCCACACTACGCTGCCCCAGAGATCATTTATGGCCGGAGGTATCGTGGGGATATGGCAGACATCTGGAGCTGCGGTATCATCTTGTATGCGCTCTTAACAGGCTTTCTGCCCTTTGATGGAGGCGATCTGCCCAGTACCTTGCGTCTGGTCAAAAGAGCAGAGTTTGAAATACCTCCCGAGGTAAGTCTCGAGGCCACTGACCTCATCAGGAGGATCTTGCAAAAGAGACCTGAAGAACGGATTAATATGCAAGGCATATGGGCGCATCCTCTTCTGAAGAAATATGAGAAGCTCCACCAGGCGATGGCGAATCATTACGTGGGACCCGCTCCGCCCTTGTCGTTCGATGAGTGTGGTGAACCTATCGCTCGTAGACACGACGTTGATCCTGATTTGTTAAGGAATCTTCAAACATTATGGCATGATGTTCATCAAGAGGTTCTGATTGAGAGAATTCTATGTCCCGAGTAGGTCAATCCTTGGTATCATTACTTATCGGTGACTCCCAGACTGACTTTTTATGTCACTCAGACCAACCCACGAGCGAATGTTTTATAATGCATTGGTCAAATTCAGGAACGAGCAGCTGGAAAACTACCAAGGCCAAGCCCTGGAGTACTCTGCCAGTGACTATCATCATATATCGCAAGTGGAAGAGCGCAGTGCCTACAAGCGAAACAGTCATGCGAGGTACCACTCCAGGAAACAATCGCAGGCGTCGGTCAAAGAAACAGGCATACGAACCAGAAGATCGGTCAGAGAGCCGATGTCTTGTGCCACAGTGGAGAGCTATGATCCGTTCCGATCTCCGAAGCATAACATAGCGCTGAAGGAAGCCGAATTTGCGCAAATCACGATCTACCGGAACGGAATTGACGAAGTCGAGACGATGGAGAAACCTCCCGTTCCTACAGTGCCAGAAACTGTAAACCAGGAGTCATCATGCCAGGAGATTGACTGCCCGCCAAGCTCACCGTTCATAGTGAGCCACAAAAAGAAACTGAAAGTCGCTTCGATGAAGTCATTCCAGTCCAGAGCCTCACAAGCGTCCCGACGAGCTTTGTATGGCACACCAACGCCGCGATCGGCGAGTTATAAGCGTAATGTGTGTTTTCGCCATGCTCGAAGTCGCTCCCAGGGATCCGTTTCGGTCAGGACGAAGACTGCGCGGGTAAGGACCCGCGAAATCATAGCGAATCCCAGTGACGGGAGTTTGGTATCTGAGTTCGAAGACGACCCATTTACAGATACTAATGACAGTCCGACGCTTCCAGCTCAGCCAACCGTCGTTCGCAGTGCGGGTGTGACGATCAAGAACTGCCCTCAAATGAAGAAGCTGCGAACCACTGACTTCACTTGGAAGGAGGATGCGCGGAAGGTGTCCCACGAGCTGAGCCAAATTTGTGAGGAAGCTTTCAACGGAAGTTCACTATCCACTGCGTGCACGAATACTAGCACTTGCATCGGATCAGAAACCCCTGCAACGTCAGTGTCCATGACCAGCCCTGAAGCTTCGGAACAAACGATAAAGCCAAAGACGTCCACCAGTCGACCAAAGCCCCTGCCTCCCGTCTCATCACCAAAGCCCTATACAGTTGCAGAGTTAGCTGAAACTCGACGTAGGTTGATCGAGCACTCTACTAAGGGTGGGAACGAGGATATCCCTGGCTACTTGGTTGCCGTGATAGGCCACCTCGACAGACTGATTGAGCAGGATGAGCTTCGACAACGTGACAGACCTGAATCAACACGTCCAGTTTCTACATCTTCCGCTGACCCCTTCGTCCGGCCTCCAAACCAATCTGGGCAACACAGCAAACGCAACAGCGTCATCGTCCCCTCCGACGGCCAAAAAACGGCAGCTCCCCGGCCAAAAAATATCGACTACGCTGCTAGCCGTACAAGCCGGGACGGCAAGCGGACGATACGCATGGTGCCTCAGAGCTCCGTGCAGTCAATTGAACCGTCCAAGCACCTACCGGTTCAAAAAAGCCAAGCCGTGCTTCCACAGGAAACACGGCAGTCGCTCGATGGATATAAGATGGCTCCTGACAACGATCAGGGGTCCCTACCTACTAGACGATTTGCCTCCGTGAATTCTCGTCACAGTCGCATTCCCTGCGAGCTGGATCCTATCGCGGAGAATCCTGGATCGCCCAGGCGCAGCGCCACTCGAACATCAGACAACAGAAAATGGTCCTGGCTCCCCAACAAGTACAACACCTCTAATATGGAAAAGGGGTCCAGACACTCGGCACATATCCGCCCAATACAACCCAGCTCAGAGACCGTGATTCGACATGAGGTCCATTCGCCAACGGATCTGTTCGCAACACTTGGGGAGTCCCACGCGAACGAGAAGCAGTCACCTTCCAAAGCTAAGACCGGATTCTTCCGGCGTCTGATTAACCGGCGAACAAGCAAAAGTGGGCAGAGCCGTGAATCAGGTGAGTTTCTTGCCCTCAGCGCTTGATAGTTTTTGCTTACAACAGTTAACAGTCGTAGAACCTGAAAGCGCAGAAACAGACCAGCCGCTGGAACAGCCTCAGCAGTCTGAGCACACGTTTGACACCAGTGACAGCAACAGCAAGTCCCTCCCAGACCGGCCATGCAACCCAGGCAGAAGCCAGAACTGGTTCGCCCGAGTCTTCCACTTCAAGCCCGCGACGCGAGTCGTGGCACTCAACACCTCAACCACGAAAGCCCGAAAGGACGTTCACAGAATCCTCCGGGATTGGAAGAAATACGGCAT